CGGATTTGACGATGACTATCGTGTGGTAGGCGAGCTCCCTACTCGATGAAAGTAAACTCATAATAACGAACAGTGCTAGAGGAAAAATAGTGGTAACCGTTGATTAGACGTGATTTTGTATCGAAATTCCTTGAAGTATATATACGAAAAGACCATTCTCATCCAAGCTAAAGTGCAGCTGTTTTCCAGCCCTAGTCTCATCTGGGCGCCCATTACGTGAACACATCAGTTTTGCATTAAATACATTAGCACCTAGGCGACTAGATACCGGCTCTGTTTAGTAACGCAATAGGCATGTTTCTTAATTCAAAGCGTAATTCTTTCAATTTACCGAAGCTAGCCAGGGAAGGTCTAAACAACTATACGAATAATGAAGATCAATATAGGAAAAAGGTTTGCCGATAGACAGACATAGATTTAATGTATATAATGTATATAGTCTCGAAAGCCTACTTGAAAACGAAAAATACATTTATTGTATATGATGTATCTAGTCTCAAAGGCTACTTATAAATGAAAAATATATTTAATGAACATGATGTATAGAGTCTCGAAAGCTTACTTATAAACAAAAAATAGATTTAATGTACATTCTGTATATAGTCTCGAAAGCTAACTTAAAAATGAAAAATAGATTTAATGAACATGATGTATATAGTCTCAAAGGCTACTTATAAACGAAAAATAGATTTAATGTATAAGATGTGTATAGTTTTGAAAGCCTACTTATAAACGAAAAATAGATTTAATTTATATGATCTATATAGTCTCGAAAGCCTACTTGAAAACGAAAAATACATTTATTGTATATGATGTATATAGTCTCAAAGGCTACCTATAAAAGAAAAATAGATTTAATGTATAAGATGTGTATAGTCTCGAAAGCCTACTTATAAACGAAAAATAAATTTAATGTACATGATGTATATAGTCTCGAAAGCTTACTTATAAACAAAAAATAGATTTAATGTATATGATGTATATAGTCTCAAAAGCCTACTAATAAACAAAAAATAGATTTAATGTATATGATGTATATAGTCTCAAAAGCCTACCTATAAACAAAAAATAGATTTAATGTATATGATGTATATAGTCTCGAAAGCCTACTTATAAACGAAAAATAAATTCAATGTACATGATGTATATAGTCTCTAAAGCCTACTTATAAACAAAAAATAGATTTAATGTATATGATGTATATAGTCTCGAAAGCCTACTTATAAACGAAAAATAGATTTAATCTACATGATGTATATAGTCTCTAAAGCCTACTTATAAACGAAAAATATATTTAATCTATATGATGTATATAGTCTCGAAAGCCTACTTATAAACAAAAAATAGATTTAATGTATATGATGTATATAGTCTCAAAAGCCTACCTATAAACGAAAAATAGATTTAATGTATAAGATGTGTATAGTCTCGTAAGCCTACTTATAAACAAAAAATAGATTTGATTTATCTGAGCATAGTCCGAAAAACTCGACCGAGTGCGATTAGTTCCACGGGCCACCCACTTCCATTTAAAATGAAACTGTGTAGCGAAGAGATTCGAGGTTCAATCTCACCAGAAGGTAATTAGAGCTTTATCTTGGTCAAGTGTGACTGAAAATCTATTTCGAATTTGACGATAACTACAATTATAAATAGATATTGAGTATGAATACTAACCATAAATTATGTCTAAATGATTAAGTGATATCAGAAATAATAATTATAAATAAGCGTAGCATATTTTTATTATGTTGTTTGATAATTAATTGCTTGTGAATCCCTATTACCGTATATATTATCGTGTGTAAGCGAGAGCGCTTCGATTAGTTTCCGAGGCGTACGAAAATGCTTTGGTTGGGACGATTTCGAGAGTAATTTACAAGTTCGTCATTTTGATCAATACCATTGTCAGCCTACCTAGAAACCGTTCCTTCGACTTCTCGATCCACTTGGAAATATAAAAATGTTGAATCATACGTTCAGAACCTAGACCTATTTAAGACCCACTTGGGCGTTACAGCGGAGGTTGGGGACATAATATCAATTGGCCTCCAGTCAATGTATGAAGTGTGTGAGGAGGGGTAGTTATGTGCAAATTGGCCAATTACATGCGTTACAAAGGTATTTAGTAACCAACTTACACACACCGAACTAAATTGTGCCTGAAGATCAAGTTGGGCCGACAACAAGAAAAATTAAGGATTGTTTTTCTTGATTCAGATGAGGCCAAATTAAGCGGAGTATTGCTTCACTAGTGATTCTAAACGATGTCAGACACAGGGCCTCACAGATGCTGGGCGAATCGAGTAGAGGTGGGAAAAGGTTAACTTAACCAGGCTTATTCAAGCCTAAGGGACATTAAAAAGGATGCAGGAGTCAGAATCACGCTTTTAGAGCAAGAAATCTTCGCTAAGACTGCCTAACATGTTCTATTCTATTTTAAACGTCAGTAATGCGAATAGATCCTTAAATATGTCGGAAATGCTGATTTAAATCGAGGTTTTATAGATAAAAAGTTATTTTCTAATACAGCCAAGAACAACTGGCAAGTCTGTTGAATGAATAGTTAATTGAAAGGGCTGGCTGGGTTCATAAAGCTCTGTAAAACGGCATCTGAAAGCGGTGGAAACGGTGATTGTTATTCACCAAATCCATTTAAATGAGCATAATCTTAGGTGACATTGGAACAAACAAAGACCAAATTTTCGACACAATCAAGTTCTGATACACTCAGTAATGCTTGAATAAGAACTTAATCTTCGTAGGTAGGCTAAGTTGATTAAAGGACTGATAGGAAATTTTTCCCACAATCACGATTAGGCCTGAAGATGTCAGCGCATTTCACTTAGCTCTGCTTCCCAAAAGCTTATCTCATCAAGACTAGAGTGTAATGCGATTTCGTCTGATCAGCAACTCCAGCGAGATTCCATATCGAATATTAAATATCGTAGCGACATTATTCTACTCCACTCCACGGTTACAGTTGCCAGTGGGTCACAGAGCGGGTGCGGCATTCAAAGCTAGCCAGGCCACTCGCAACTCAAAGTCAATGTCATTTAAGCAGGCATGCTTTTACCATTGCAATTTGCTATACTACTTATTTTCGATATAAGTAGGTTTTGAGACTGTCAGGTAATCCTGGAATAGGGAGTTAGTTACCATAGCTTGAATAAGTTCGTTTTCCCATCGTGGTGAGTATGCCTTACAATTTGAGATTAGATACCTGGTCAAAATTTCATGTGAAGTGTGGTTGAGGGATAAGGATACATTGTTGGGGGCTAGGAAAGGAAGGAGAGGTGATGTCTTGGCGCTTTATCAGAACATTGGTAAAGGGGATTATATTCATTTATCACTTTTGACGAGTTGCAATTCAGTGCTAAGGCTTGGAATGCAGCAGGTCAACAGTCCCATGCTGAAAATTATCGTGAATACTATGGCGGAGGGCGCAGCACTTGGTACAATCACTGTCCTGACTAAGCTGCAAAATCTTGTACCATTGTACTTTTCATCATGTAAACTCTCGTGGACATGCCTAGTCAGTTGTATGATGCAATAAGAAAAATTGAAAATAATGTCATAAAGTAATGAAACTGGTCAGTTTTTAGAGTCTACTTGATCAAATATTGAATTTGAGAGGGCTAGGCCTAGCCAACTATGAATCATAGTTACTATAAAAGGGTTAATATAAAAATGGCATTATGACAGCTGCCGTTCTCCCCACATAATGAAATGAAGCGCTAGTATCAACATTTATACTTCGTGGAGTATTTCATACAGCTTCTATGCGATTTTTCTATCTATTCGGTAGTTAATACAGCGAATGGTCTCTCTAAGAGCGCAATCAATTAACAATTAAACCAATTAAAGGCAAGTGAACTTCATTTGTGATATAATTAAGTTTATTCATTTTTCGCATTAAGTATTGTTTCGAAACTACCAGTAACTCAGTAATATGAGATGTATTCACCCAATTTCGTTTAAGGTGATGAACGACCGGTAGAAGAAAAATTTCCCCACATTGATATGAGTTGAGCTGACGTTTACATTAAATTTCACATAGCCTTGCTTTCACAACAGTTGTTTTCATTCAGGTTGGACTGCAGTCTCGGACTTATCTATTATATACCTCCGTTTATACTCAGCACTCATGAGTAATATCATGAAATAGTATCACATAAGTATCTCCAAATAAAAATTCCAGTCCCCCAAATAGCATAATGCGATGAAAGTTTATTGCTTGAATTCACCCACAAAGAAATTGACAGACCTCACATTGCCAGCAAAAATCTAGTCCATTCTGGCTAAGAATCAATCTTGGGAATTAAGTCATATAATTGTTGTGAAAGTGAATACAGCTCACCCTTAAGATCTACTGGTAGTTTTGGAGCCTAATCACAACTAATACGAAATCATACTTACTTCCAATATTTCTTGTTGTGATCCTATTTAAGTATCTTATGAAATAACAAATCAAAGCATAGAATACCACATTAGGAGGAGAAACTAACTATAATAGACAAGTCTGCTTTCAATTTTAGCAATGTTTGCAACAGCGGCGGCAGCTCTGCAAAGATTCACTGTGGAAGCAGGCCGGTGAGTCAAATAATTCTTATTTCCAATAGGAGTTTATGAGACTATAAATAATCCTTGAAGCTCGATTATCAGTACTTAAATAATCTTAAGGGCCCTGGATGCCTATGCTATTACAAGAGGCATTTTTCTCCGTAGGCTTTTTGCGAGTCCAATTTACGTACCCTTTCCAACTTCTTTTCTTTCCAAGTGCATTGTTCAAGGTGAGGTGAAAAACTGAGGTTTAGTCTGAAGGAGGAAGCCGTTTTGGAGGGAGGGAAGCGTGCAATGTAATGGTACAGTGAGCATTTGTACTTATTTCACTATTGACATCTCCTCACCTAAAGCCGTGGATAGTGGCAATAGTGAATGTAAAATGTCTCCTATACACCTTCCAGTCTGTCTAAACTGTATGGCCGGGATCCCAATACTTACTGGACACTGCAAGAGTCGCTGCTAGTTGGGTAGGCGGATAGACTTGCCGACGGCTCAGGAAACGTGTTCATACTGTCTTTGGCGGCGGTTTTACTTTCTGTCAGATATCCATTGCCTTTCAGAACACTTTGAAACGTGCTGTATGCTGCTTCGTCGGGAGAAAGCGATACCAACGGCAGAGCATCAAATGGCGGCTGTTCCGGATTGATGAGCCTCGGAGGAGGGCTGGTCGATTGTTCGAGATCAGGACATGTGCTTGAAGTCGGATCAAGTCGAGGCCGTTCAACGTCAGCGCTCGGCGATGCCAGAACCTCCACCTGCACCACAACTGAGAAGGGTCGTCGAGCTGAGGCCGGCCGTCGACGAACGGAAAGAACACCGCCGCCTCGTGACGGAGGAGAAGGAAATTGAGGCGAGATCGAAACACCGTCTGAGGATGGGGAGGCGGTGGGCGGATGCAGTTTTGAGGCCGAGACTAGACCAGACGAGGGCTGTTGTTCAACGGTACCGAAAGAGAAGTTGTTCACGAGTCGGCCATCCCGGCCAGAAGGGGACTCTGAACTTGGCACCATCTCGGGCGTTGGAGGATAAGCAAACGGGAAGTCGGAAGTCGAATGGTCTGCGCGAGGCAACCGAGACCATTTACGTCAGATTGTGTGTGAGAGAGAGAAGGAAAGAAAAAAATAGTGCGAAATGATGATGAGCAAAGTGAAGAAATGTTGGATTTCGAGAAATCGCTTGTCTCATAATTGTTGAGCTCACTCCCATTTCGAGTGAAAGCGTTTGGTGAAGAGATTCAAAGGTCGATTCCACCAGAAGACGACGACGGATTTCTTTTGATAAGCTGTCGATTGGCTTTACTAAAACATTCATACTGACGCTGTTTCCAAGGTAATCTCTTGCGATTCCGGCGAAAACGTGCTAAGCTTTCGTCCGTCGAATGACGAACATCATCAGAGCAGCTGGAATCGACCTTCGAATCCCTTCACCAAACGCTTTTACTCGAAATGGAAGTGAGCTCACCAATAAAAGTGATTTGAGGACGGATAGTAGACTTTGTATCGCAATGCTTACTGATAGTCCCGAAACCTGCTTATACCGAAAATAAGTAACGTTGTCGATTGAAATCAGAAAAACCGGAGAGTTAGATTTTTCCACAACCAGATGAGACATTACATTTCACTTGGCCCTGCATCCCAAAAGCTCATCTCATTCAGGCTTGACTACAGTTCCGACTTCGCTAGTTACTATCCGAAGCCCCAGCGGACTTAGAGCCCGACTTGTGGCACCCATGGGTGTCAACAAGTGACAGGATATTTTTGAGTGGAATTATCAATCATGTGTTTGCCATTGTAATCGACGATGCTAATTATTTTCGTACCAAGTAGTGCTTAAATCACTTTGAGCGATTTGGGAGCACTAATTTCTTACACGAAATGATGATGTAGAAAGTTCAGTGCCACTGTCCTGATGTGAACTTCATCCTGGGATTGTTTTCCTGGAAGTGTGAATCTATCCCGGCTAGACACGCAAGGCATCAGAAGCTAAGTCCCGAGAGAGCCAATTAGTTGTCTTGTTTTGATAAAATGGCACATTTCCAATTTATACCGGCAGATGGGACCTTATCAACGGTACGCTACTACCTTAAACAATTTTTTTTCGATACTTCTGAACTGTCTGCATCGTCACAACCGTTTCGTAGAAAAGGGTATTCCAAGACAATTGGAAAATTCATTTGCAAATGTAGAATAACAACTAATTTTGATGAGAATTCTTCGTGTATGCACTGGAAATGCGCGCAAATTTGAAGTGAATATTGTAGAAAGCTAAGCTCAACACAATATGCAGGGGACTCTGATTCTGTCTGAAAGTTCCGTATGTTCGAATCATCTTAAGCATACTCAATCCTTGTCCACAGATTGTTGCTGTGACAGCTCATGCTGACGCCGATGCTGAAATTCAGCCCAGAATGCGGCCCAACCCATATAGCCTTATCGTCTACTAAAGACGGATGCATCCGCTCTAGCCTGGCCGAAGCAAACCCCTTCACGTGAGCCCAGCAAAGGAGCATCAAGATGGTGTGAAGGGTGGGAGAATTATGATTCGGGTAGTCTATGTAACCTTTTTCGACTACCTTATCCCAAACAATGAAGCATCAGAGCGGCTGTGCTCATCATTACAAGAATCAGGCTGGGCTTGCTGAGGGGAGTGAGAGGAAATGCAAGGAAAAATAAGGTGGAGGCGAATGCTGATGAGACCTATATAGACATGTTGCCTTGGTGCCAGAATTGATTGTTGCTAGTCAAGGCAAAAGCAAAGAGTGAAGCAACAAGTGGTATGGTTTGTTCGAGCACGGTCAGACAATAAGAAATCCTAATCCGGCTTTCGAAGGCGTTTATGTTTGTGTGTGGAGCCGTGAGACGAAATCAAAGAACCAGTTACTAAATCTGGTGATTCAACTTCAGAAGTCACTCGGAAACTCATTCAAAGGTCCAGTGTAGGGCGCGTTAAAATGTTATCCTTTAGAGCTGCAAGTAGGACTTATTAAAATCTGGTGCAAAAATGCAATCAGTCATGCGATAAGATGTGCGAGAAACTAGGTAACAAAAACTAGTGCCTAATCTTTAGTTGTCCTAGGTTATCAGTCAAATGAAAAATTAGTTAAAAAAAGCGAGCCTCTTCAGGAATGAATCATTTTGGTGGTAAAACTATTTACTTAAAAATACAATTTATAATAATACTACTTTATAAACATATTTTTTTCCTATTAGAATGTCTGAACAGACAGATAAAATCCCGTAATGACTTGCTGGAAATTAATTTGGCTGCCAGTAGTTTAGTCATTAGTAAACGTGAAAGTTTCGGCAGTAATATTATTATAATTTGCTATATATTAAAACATGTAATATATTATCAAGCTTTTGTCAGCATTATAAAGTATCATGGTATAATATATCAAATATGTACGCTTAAATTACGTTGCAAATTTATAGCAGTATTTTATTTTATAATTAGCGATTAAAATATGGGGAATACCCAGTGCTATATTTGAACCGGTGACCAGCCTAAACTTCTAAAATGAAGATCCAAAGTTATATCAATTTTTATAGAAGAGCTACTGTTAAGTAGAGTATTTTTAAAGAATACTTTAATGTATATATCAAATTCACAATTCGAATTTAAGTATGAACTGAATTACGTAGAGACTAAATGCTTTGCAAATAAATATAAAATTTTTGACAATTAAAATTGGCATAAAGAAATCTTTGCTTCAATGAGCCCATCAACAGATTGATGTTGGAGTAACTTATATTTCGTTTTAAGAGGCGAATTCAAGGGAATTGGTAGGTTGGTCTCACATGAAGCTGTAGGGGGATTGCCTTTGAGCTGTGATTGCAGAGTTGTGCGAACAAGTCCTCGGTGTACCGCCCTGTGAGCCCGATGAGGGACATTGTGAAAGAAGGGCACCATGCTTCACGAAAATTCAGCAAAATATGAATTCAAGAAGGGTGGCCGGATGCAAAATTACCTACTTCTTATTGTCCAATTTGGTTAACTTAATTAAACATCGCATGTTTTGGTTGGATATCCATTTATTTTGCA